TTCTCTATCTATTATTAGATTAGATAAATCATTCACAGCCTGTCTGGATACTGACTACTACGGAAAAGAGATAACATAGTGGCTGGTATATTTTGGTGTGATGAAACTCAATTACAACAAGGTTCATCCATATAAAATATGATACAACTACTCATAAATATCTTTTTAAGCATATATCTATTCTGTAACAAAAAAATATTCTACAGATGGTACTGGCTGAAAAATTTTACCTTTGAAAACAAGTGGTAGATAAAGACTACTGTGAAAATGGTTTAGAAAATATTCTAAAACTCACATAATTAAAATGCAAATCGACTGAATACAGTATTTTATACTTTATGCATGATATCCTTCATTCATTCAAACAAATAGAATTCAACAAAAACTTTGTATTATATTGTATCATAACAACAAGCGAATAGATATTGTAATAACGTTTGAGTATTCTTAAAATCAAATTTTTTGATTAATCTTAACTCAGTTATAATTTGATGGTAATTCATTTACTCAAGTTATTCACATCATGTGTTGTTGAGTAAATGAAGAATAAAGGTGAGTTAAAAATATATGGTTCTATGAATGTGTCACAATAAATTCATAAAATAAAAAGTCATCTTTAACATTGTATTTAATGTATGTTTTATAAAATCTGAAACAGATAAACCAAAAATTCTAATGGATTATTTATTATTCTCATTTCAAATGAAGTGTAGTGAAGGCGAACACAGGTGAGGACAACCGAATTATAATTAGCACAAAATTACAGAGTTACTTGGTAAAATAGAAAAACCATACTATAATACCTAATTTGCAAAATGTTCAATAATTGTCTCAAACTCCATTGTTATTGCATTTCCATACTAATTGCTTTCTATTCCCATTCTTCGTTTCTTGATCTTCCCTATCTTCTGCTGCCAGACATTACATTCCTGACTCGCGTCATATACTATTTACATCAAGATATGTAGCACACACAACAGAAGTAATTAGTTTATAGTAATAATTAAAAAAATCATCCATAATTTATGCACCAATTAAAATGATCAAATTGTAGTTAACTTTATTTCTGTTACTTCTTGCAACTTATACACGCATATACTGATCACAGTCTATTTTTACTTTATTGTCCAGAATTTAGATTAGCTTAGATCTCGTTTGATATTTATTGGTTCGATCAATTACAAACGCATTCTACAATAAATTACCCACAAAATTTTTTTATTATCTAATTAAAATACACTTAAATCATTAATGAATGAGCAAGCATTGGATGTTACGGGAGAACTGAAGATATTTGGCTGATTAAAACCTTTATATTAAATAGTCTTAATTTCACTGTGCTTTTGGATGTATTTGTTTTACTCAACTTCTGGACTTGTTTGTTTTTATCATTATTTTCGGATATTTTGGTTTCTCTATGCCTTTGGTTTAGTATTTAGAAGGTTTTGCTCTCGGAATCTACAAAATTGAAGGTTTGTTTCTATGACTGTTATAATTATTGTTAGAAGGACATTTTGGTCGACTATTTGTAAATTGCGAATAAACTTTGGTACCTCAGTTGGAGTTTGGTTCTATTGTTAATTTGGGTTCGTAAATTGCGATTAGATCGATATATCGTACTTCAATAACGGGACGAGCAAAAACTTGGACGTAACATTGGAAACGAATCTTTTACCTACGGTGACGTATAACTAGTTAAATCTTCTAAAAAAATTGTTGCAATAAGAAAATAAACTACATTATTGTGGTGTTTGAATGAACCAATGATACCTTTGTACTGGTTGAATGTTTGATTTCGAATTCTAAATACAATACATTCGTTGGTGCCTATGTCTTCTTAATTCAATTGCGTTAATCCTGGAATTCCTAATTCATACGACAATTAGAATACTATATTGGCGTCGTGATGGAACCTGCAATGGAAAAGTTGGATATTCATTCAACTCCTGAAGCTATTGAGGATTATTTGGAAAGGTTCGAAATTTGGAGCATGACCAAGAAAGATGTTAAAGGTGAGAAAATTGTGGCACATTTTCTGACATTCATTGGGAGAGAAGCGTACAGCCTATTAAAAACTTTGGCATATCCAGAAAAACCTATCTCACTCCCTTATGCAACTCTTAAAGAGCTATTGTTAAGTCATGTAAAATGCACCAGTTTTGAATGCCGTGAAAGGGCGAAGTTTCATAAGATGGTTCGTCAAAATGACCAAAAGGTTCGGGAATTCATCCTTGAATTACAGAAACAAGCTGCCAAGTGTAATTTCGGTGATCAACTTCATGTGCAACTGAGAGATCGATTAATTGCAGGAATTAACATACCGGGTTCGGAAAGAGAACTGTTAAGAATGCCGAACTGTTCCTTTCAAGATGCTAGAAGTGCGTGTATTAACTACGAGGCAGTGAATGAACTCGATATCCAGTCGATGAAGATTTCTAATACTTTGCTTAGTCGTCATGACGAAATACAATCTCAGGTTTAATCAAACTTGCGTTCGTTTAACAGCGATTCCTATTCTCGTGTAAATATGAAAGGTGTTTCAACAAGGAATTACAAAGCAAATCCCAAAGGTGAGATCAAGTTTGGTAAATGTTTATCATGTGGAAAGTTTCATTCTCGCAATTCATGTGCATTTCGTAATGCTAAATGTTTTAAATGTGGTAAGATAGAACACATTCAGTCAGTATGCAAAGCTACTGTCCATTTTGCCTCAAGTAGTACTAAATCTTGTAATTTAAATTTCAATAATTCGGATGTTTCTAGTGATCATTTGTCTTTGTCCACTATTTCGAAAGGTAATGCTCATATTCAGAAGCGATTATATACATCGCTTGGTTCATTTCATGACTTTATTCTGGACACAGGCAGTATAGAGTCCATTATTTCATTCAAGAACTTGAAAGCTTTAGATCCTAACGTTGTTGTACGACCCACTGAAGTATCAATACTGGGGATTACTGGACACAGACTGCCCATACGAGGATGTTGTGAATTGCTAATCAGAGATGATAATTCTTCATACATACCTTGTGAATTTTTAGTTAGCGAAACAGGACTGTCAATATTGGGTTTAAAGAATTTGAAAAGGCTTAAGGTGGAGTTGTCCTTCTTAGTTTCTAAAGAAAATTCTGATACTTTACTTAAAGATTTGATAGCTATGTGTGCTAAGTGCAGTGGAGGTATGAAAATTCAGCCTATAAAACTTCAAGTACAGGGTGATCCAGTCTTTCTTAAAAGACGAATAATTCCTTATGGTCTTCGAGAAGCAGTACATAAGACATTAAACGATTTGTGTGTGAAAGGCATAATTGAACCAATCCAGTCTTCAGCATGGGGTACTCCTATCGTTACGCCACTGAAGTCGGACGGCAAGACCCCTAGAATTTGTGGTGACTATAGATTAACTCTCAACTCCCGTTTGTTGAAGCAAACGTTCACGACGGTAGAAGCTGAAGATATTCTAAATCGACTTCATGGTTCTAAATTGTTCTCGAAAGTTGACCTAAAAGATGCTTATTTTCAAATTCCTTTAGATGAATCTTCATCTATTTTGACAACAATTAACGCTACTTTTGGTCTGTTCAAATACAATTTCCTTCCATTCGGTCTAAGTTGTTCTCCATATTTCAGGAAGTTATGAATAAAGTAGTTAGTGATCTTCAAGGTGTTGAAATTTATCAAGATGATCTCATTGTTCATGGTTCTGATAAGGTAGTTCATGACCAGAGACTTGTTGCTTTATTGCGTCGTTTAATTGAGAAGAATATTAAAGTGAATCCAAATAAGTGTTCATTTTGTTTATCTAGTTTTGAATGCCTTGGATACCTAGTTGATGGTTATGGTTTTAGACCATATATGAAACGACTAGCTCCACTGACGAACGCACCGTCTCCAAAAAATCTTACGGAAATACATTCACTAGTGGGTGCTCTTCAATACTATTCTCGTTTTATACCTAATTTTTTGTCGTGCAAATTGTTTATTTAATATTTTGACATCCAATTCATTCAAATGGAGTGAGGAACAAGAGTCATGCTTACGAAGTCTACTAAAGTTTCTTCAAAGTGATGCTGTTCTTCGAACGTACTCCACTAACGTACATTCTGTGCCTATTATTGATGCATCACCTGTGAAGATTAGTGCAGTTTTGGAACAGGAAGGTAGACCAGTCATTTGTGTCTCACGCAAACTTACTGTTACTGAACAAGGTTATTTACAGATTCAGCGAGAAGCATTAGCTGTGTTTTAGATTGTTAAAAGACTTCATAATTATTTATTCGGAAGGAAATTTACTATTGTTACGGATCATGAAGCTTTAAAGTTTATTTATCATCTTGAAAAATCCTTAGCACGTTCCTCAGCTGCTATGCTTCAGCGATGGAGTATTGCTTTCAGTGCATATGACTATACGGTTCAGCACAGAAGTGCCAAACAGATTAAACATGTTGATTACATTTCTCGACAGTCATTACAAGATAAACCTATTAATACTTCGGATTGTTTGTTAGTGCAACCTTTACCAGTGAGACGTTCAGATCTCATTAGAGAAACTCGTAGATATTTTGGATGTATACTCAGTGCTATAAGGAAAGGTTGGAATGCTAATTTGAAACGGAGATTTCCTATATATTTTTCAAAGCAGGATGAACTATCTACCACTCCTGATGGTATTCTGTGTTTAAATGATCGTGTTGTCATTCCTCCTTCATTGCGTAAATCTGTTCTTGAAGATCTTCATAGTGGTCATTTAGGTGTTGAGAAAATGAAGTCCTTGGCAAGGCTCACATGCTGGTGGCCAGAGATAAATGCAGATATATGTCGTACGGCAAACAATTGTGAGAAATGTCATCAGTTGAAAAATCATCCTTCGAAGTGGGTGCCATGGCCAGTATCGTCTGAGGCCTGGCAGAGGATTCATGCTGACTATTGTGGTCCGTTTCTTGGTAAATACTATGCATTTTTTCAGAGTGGCCTGAAGTTTTTTCACAACTTCACCAAATTCTGATTCCACAATACAAGCATTAAGAAAGGTGTTTAGTCGAGAAGAGGTTCCTATGGTGTTAGTGACTGATAATGGCTCTCATTTTGCTGCAGATGCAGTCACTACCTGGTTGAACGGTATAGGGTGCAAACGTCTATTTACTGCTCCTAGACATCCGTGTTCTATAGGCCAGGCAGAGAATTTTGTCAAGACATTAAAGACTGCTATTGATTCTATAGCCGCCTCAACATTTAATGAGCTGGAGAGGGGAGTAGATACCTTTTTATTGCAATACAGAAATGCCAGACATTCGGTGACGAAGGAGACTCCAGCAAAGCTACTGAAAGGAAGAATTCTTCGGTCGAGTATGAGATGTTTGGAATCTGCAGAAGTTACATACTATCGAGGAAATGATCTTCGACCATCTACGGGTATTGTTCTGAAGAATGTCGGAAAATCGATGGTGCGAATTCTAGACATCGATGACTTAAGTACACACAGTCGACATGTAGATCAAATACAACTTCAGGAACCAGGTGAGTCAGTTCCAATTTCGATTGTTAATTCTAATGCTAATGAGCATATTCTAGATAATACAGAATCCTTATCCAATACAATGTCAGACAGACTCAGGATGAATTTGAGAAGAAGACGTACGATTGGTTACAAACACCTAGACTCCAGTTTAAGCTGTGGCGGATGTGGTGTTTGAATGAACCAATGATACCTTTGTACTGGTTGAAGGTTTGATTTCGAATTCTAAATACAATACATTCGTTGGTGCCTATGTCTTCTTAATTCAATTGCGTTAATCCTGGAATTCCTAATTCATACGACAATTAGAATACTATAATTATTCAAGGAATAAACAATGTAGACAGAACAACAATGTTTAACCGTGTAGTGACTCACATTTATCACGAGAACACGACTGGTTTAATAAAAACGCTTATTATTATAACCAAGTGTACCAGTGACTGTTTTAATGTGCTTTTGTTTGACTGTGCTAATGATAGCTATTTTGTGCTTCCATTCTTATACTCACACTTCGATTGTAACTTCGCGCGAGTTCGGTTGCGTTCTGTAATCAAGGTTGTATCCTGGCATGATCTCGGTATCCTTTCGATGCCACGAGATCGCCAGCAAATAAATCTCGACTTGGTCCATTAATTGCCTTCTGATATTTGGTTTCTCGGGGATTTTATGGATTTATTTGGTTACGTCCAACCTACGCCTTCCGATTCATTTGGCACGTGTTTCTTGGTAGCGGTGTTCATAGTTAACCTCAACTCGACGCTACGCTACAGTTGGTGAGCCCGACGTGATCTGGTACACCTAAAGATTAATAAACGTAAGACAGATTTCTTTGCGCTTTAAGTATAAGTGTCTTCATATTAACAACACATCATAACTGCTTAATGACTTGTAAATATGTAATTATGCATAAAACTAGTCAGTTTTGGGTACGAATCATGTACAATAGTATTTCTCAGGTATGTTGATGATGAGCATTCTAAGTATAAGTCACAGATTAGAATTAGTGATCACTGAATTTCAAAGATGACACTAACTTATTAAAATGCATTAAGAGAAAATCTACATTCTTCTTACGTATTTTATTATTAATGCATTTATAAATACCATTCGGCTTTAGTCCTATGCTCTCACATCATACATTTTATAATATTTCAAGTTTTTGTCATCTGCAAAGACAAATATGTCAGACTTCTTTATATGGTTTTCTGTGGAAAATGTCTCACCCTCAAACACATAAGCTATATTTCATTATTCACATAAACTTTAAATAACTTAAATAAAACAATAGACATTGTTATGTAAATATTATAAAATTCACAAATAACGGATCCGAATCAAAGAATACAAGGTTTAAATACTGTTCTGATTAGATTTCACTAAACAGTGAGTGATTCGATGGCTTAGTATTTTAATACCTAGTGGAACCTATTCCTAAGAAATCTGCTAATATAGACACTGGTGACTGATATTCTAAATAAAAAATTCTCTTCAATTAAATAATAAAAGTCCTCAAACATAGAAAGAATAAATAAGTTGTTAGATGCAACAGGTCTCAGAAAAATGACTGTTTCAATTATTATATACTCGAAATATTAGTTTTATTCGCGACAAAGTTCAACAAAAGATGTAGTTCCATTGAATTTATGTTCAAACACTTTCAATTCTTGTCGTTATACTTTATTTTTTTATCTAACCACCCTACTGAGAAGTCAAATTTAACTGAATTATCATAGATTTAGATGAAAGTATAACTTATTGACAACATTTGAGCGACGATAGAGTAACCTTGAACGTCCATCTAAGAACTAGGACCAAATGAAGGTTATAAACCAATGTGAGTAAACAGAAATAAGATTTACAGATGATGGTTAAGATTCAGAATTAGATTTAGGGTTTTCATCACTGAATGACATCACTTATAATGCCAGAACATCAATGAGCCGAATAGATGAGTGAATTTTGCGACAAAACCTCAAACCTGTTAATATAAAAAATTTTAAACACTACGGTAAGGTGGTCCCAGATAAACATTTGCCGTGTTGTGTGACTACGACATCTGCTGAGTAATCGTCAAATATTTGTCCAGCTGTAATGAACTAAGCGTCCACAAGCTTTTCAGATCAATATTCTCAAGCCTTCCAAGCGCCTTTCACTTCTGATTCAGTTAAATGTGGTGGTATAAAATCTCCTCTCTTTCGACGAACTCTTGATTTACTCCATTTTATTAAAATCTTGTCAGTAACTTATCTCAAAAGATCAACTTGCAATTATTGTCTTCATATAATAGGATCTTTAATAACTGGTAATTACTGCTGGAAAAACTGAATGAAAGTCGTTATTCATTGTAGTTTCACGCGGTTTAAAGTTTAGTGGCCCTGTATCCGACTTCAGTCGAATTGTATGCTGATTGTCGTCGAAATATACACGTCGGCTATCTTCGCATGTTTCATCGACTTGAATCGCGTTAGTGAGTAACCGAACTAAATAAGTCAAATACGAGGATTGAGTTTGAATACGTATATTTCATACGATGGTTGATTGGAACAAACAATAAGAGAAACGTAGTGAAAAAAGCGAAAAAGAGAAAGCGAAGCAAAATGGATCGGAGAGGTCAACTGAGTCAACTCAATACAACCAGGAGTTACTCAGTATCTATAATCAGAGCAAAAACATTTTACAGTTATATGATGAATGGGATAAGCAATCAACACATATACGATCATACAAAAAAAGTCAGAATAAATAAGCCAATATGTGACTAGGTCGAAGTGCGGTTACGGATGATGGACAGACTGATCTGTCCAGAAACTGTATCAGTCCATGTGTGCAGCAGAGTATTTGTGAGCGACAACCGATGGGTTATTTATGTGTATTCACAAATCGGAACGGAAGGTCGAAGTTCATATTTCAAACTACAGTTTCACAAGTAATGGTAATTGTACAAATTTTAAGAATTGAAGAAAAATGCAAATAGTAACAAAACTAATTACGGCACGGTAAAAATGCCAGATATTTATAAAGCCGATCTCCGTTTCGTTTCAACAGCCTTGAACGGCCTGACAAGAGGCGGTCATTCCGTATTTCAATTGCCTTAGGTTCTTTTGGTTGCACGAATATAAGTCTTCTCCTATTTAATTCGTCTTCTGCTGCATTAAAAAGCACAAAGTAACTGCCGAAAGCATTAATTTAGCATTCTCTGTCTTCTAGTGTACACGTCGCCTCTATTGTTGCTTCGTAACTTGATCTGTGATTACAATCGCTGTAGAAAAACTAAATGACTTTGTTTAATTTTTTGGTAAGGTCCAGAAAACAACGTAACAAAGATAAGACGAACGTAACAGCTCTATATACTCAAAGTTTGTGTGAATCGCTGTTCAACACAAAGGTTAAGACGAAATGTCAAGTAACCGTAAGTCTTAAATATTTGTAGTACTTCCTTCACTTAGCAAATTATTATTGAAAGAAATAACGATTTTTATCAATTTTTGAGTGCTGTTTGTAGTGCTTCATGATCAACAGACATGTCAGTCGATGTAAGCGAAGCGTTTCAATGTATAATACTGAACAGGCCTTTTGGAATCTGGATCAAACTTCATAGTGCGCTAGAGGAATTCCAAAAAGTATGGAAGAATAATTTTGTCCCTTCGCAGACTACCCACACTCACCACATCCATACAGAAAGTAAATTGTTGAAGGACATGAGATATAAATACTTGTTTGTAATGTTCCAGTGCATATTTGGTCATAAGCGTAAATGAGAATGTCTGACAGTGAATCAAAAACCGTGAGAACCTCAACTAATATGTGACGCTTAATGTCTAAGTTTCCAAACTGCCAATCAAGTTTCCGTGTAAGATTGAAAGGTGAAGAATATGTCATAAAATCATACAAGTTGCTACACAACCATCCATGTCGTAGTTCATAGATAGTTTGTGATGCATGACCAGAAAGATTTCGTCAGAAGAAAAAAATCTAAATTCGGTGATGTTGCAGTCACAATCAACAGATGAATTAGTAGAAAGCATTAATGGCCGAACTGGTAGGCAGGTCACTGCTGCTGGTGTATAGGAGCATATTCCAGGTTGTTACACGCAAATGCAAAAGGGTGAAGTGAGAGAGTATTCAGAAAACGGATATGTAAAGAGAATTTGCTTCAGTACATATGAGCAGATACAATTATATAACAAAAATCCAGAAGTTGTTTGTATTGATTCTACTTACAATTTCAATCATAAAATGTGAATATGCTTTTTGTTGAATTCCACTTTGTAGATATTCGTTATACCAGTCGGGAATATCCAATAATGTTGGACGAAGGCGTTCTGTTCTGTCTGCATGGATGCAAAAAGAATTGCGAGCAAACATATCGTGGATCATGAACAAATTCAGAGAATTAATGGGAAATACATCAAAAACGCAAACTTTCGTTATGGATCGCACACTTGGGGAAAGCGCGGCTGTCCGTCTTACACATGGTAATGCAAATCTAATTCTGTGCGCCTTTCAAGTGTGTCGCGCTTTCCGTAAAAAGTTACAGCAATCATGATTTAAATGAAATTGCCTTTAGATTTGCGACAAAATCTTGAGAACGTACCTAAGTAGATAAAAATCGTAGAAACTGTTGTAAGATATTGCTTAAATATATTTATCCTGTATATTTATTCAGTATTTCAAAATCGTTACCCAAAGAAACAGACGAGCGGGTGAGAATCTTCATCGATTCTGGATGTCTCGTATAAGTATGTGGGCGGTAGCGTTCAGTGGAAGTGCTTTGACTCTCGGCAACAATACGAATGATCGTGTGCAGCCACTGGATTGTCAAAAAGAAAGATATGTACACCAAACCCACAGCTTGCACAAATGTTCCTGTATATGTTCATGAAGAGGACAGAAAAGGATATAAACGTCAATTGTTAATTTTTCTTTCTCAGACACCTTACATAATAATATGTCAGTTTAGTCGAAAACGATTATACATATAGTGGAAAGAACTGTTTATGGTTGTATATTATTAAGTTATTTAACATTCATAAATAGTTAAACGCTCAAATGCTTCAATTTTCATTTTACAAACAACTTCCAACATCAGTGTTCATTACCATCATAATTAGGGGAGGTCCACCACAAATCAAATATAAAAGGTCTTAGAGCTCAGTTTTCCACAAAACTCTGATTGAGGTCTACTTTTGACTTTTTATATGGTAAAGTCCATTTGCCTCAGTTCTCTTTTTCACAAATATCCACATTAGGCTTGCCAAACATTCAACCAAGTTCTGAGGGACAAATACGTCAAACTCCTAATAAACTGGAATAAAAGCCAGGTAGCAAGCGAAAACACTATAAAAATTGACGTGAGGTGGAAAAAATGCTGTTCATGAATGATAAATAACGAAATCCCAAAGTCCTCGACAATATAGCTTAACGTCATGACAGTGAACTGATTACAAAAATGTCTATTTCGACTGTCCCCCCCCCCACAAGAGAACATACTATGGCATTTAAACACAACTAATTTCGTCTGAATATATCCACTGTACGAGAATATAAATGCGTTCAAAAAGTGATTTTCAACTAAATAACATGCTTTACTCTTACGACACCACATTAATTAGCAAAGAAAATAATAATTCAATGGCCAGTCGAATCAACGAGAATCAGTTCAAACAAACGATTTAGTCCACCAAAATAATCCACGGCCGCTATTCCGTATTATTTATAGGATTTAAAATGTCAGTAACTATTTACTTTATAACAAATTGCATTACAAAGATATTGGACAAACGAGTTTCGACGTCAAACGCTGCCGCGCAATATGGTTAGTTTTGTTACTCCGGTAGAATGAGTTCGTTCGATAGTAATTATTTTTTCATTAGTCTGTAAACATTTTTGTAAATAAAGACATATGATAAAACTGAACATGCTCATCTTAGCTGAAAATCCTTCCCACTAGAACCTTCATTGGCAGTTCAAGGAATATAGAAAAACCCCTATATATAAACTATTGTCTCAAAATTAACAATCGTTGATGTCGCGCCTACTATCAGTGGTTAAAAAGTTTAGATAATAGTGAAAAGGAGTTAGACTCAGTAGGCCTATAACTAAGTGGTGCTTAGCCGTGCTCGGTGTAAAGTTGGCTTCTTACGTAAATGACTTGTATTCTTCATGGTTAGAGTACTTTTTAGTGTTTCCTCTAAAATACTGCGAGGAGCCAAAACCACAATTTTCAAAATTTAAGGATCCTGAATATGCAGTCACCTCTTAAAGGACCAATTCGTTTGGAATCTCAGTTATACATGCTTTTCATTTTATTTATTTGAACACAAATATTGGTACAAATGGTCACCGAATTCATATGTCCCACACAAGTCACTTGATCTATGTGTTGGCTTTAGTACTACCCGGGTGTCAAAATAGAAGCAGGTGGTTTTCCTAGGGGGCAGCCCCCGGAGCCTTCGACCTGAAGGTCTGATTCACAAGGTACTGGAGCAACGTCATAAGATGTTGTCACATGGTAGCCGTTGACCAACGATTGGTTCATACTCCATTTGTTCCTTCAGAATCTTCGTGCTCATGTGCACCATTGGTTTGGAATCAGGGTTTTCCAACTCCCGTAGGTCGACTCTCCGTGTTCACCAAACCGTTTAGAAAGCCTGACATTCGTTTTTCATCCTCATTTTCGTAAACAACAGCAATGCGTCGAGCAGGCACTGAGTAGGACTTCCGTGTCAGTGGTTGTATGCACGTGGCCATGTGATAGTACCTGTAGAGGGAGAGTCGACTCTCCCCACCCTCGGGCGTACCAGGGCGCTTGTCATCACAATCTTGATATTTAATATAAGTGCACAAAAAACACTAACAAACGGAGGCTTAGCATACATGAGTAGTTTTTATCCCCGTCAATAAACCACGGAGACACTTGAGAGGGGAAGAAAGTGGGAATGAGATGGTTTTGTTGTCAGAAATAGGTAATTGTGGTAAGCGAGATAAATCAATGTCCAACAAATTATACATAGGAGCAGAAGGGTTTTACGCCAAAACGACTGGTTTTCTGTCCTGATTCATAAAATCATCTTTCTACTTGATAAGTTTCTCATCATCCACTTATAGCTCTTATCCCTCCAGCGTTAATAAGCTTCCATATTTTACTATCGTTTTAAAACTTTTATATCTCTGTACCTTATCTATACCTTAGTGGTACATCCAAACATAAATACAGTTTTCGTTTTTTCTGCGTTACATTTTTTATCTGGAATTCCTATGTCCTATCATGTTTTTCTGTCCGAATGATCTGTTTCATTAAAAATCCTCTCAAATCTAACACATTTATCATCTAAGTGCCACCTTTATCTGCGCTTAGATCGAGTGTATCATTTTACAACTGCTCATACTGTTGTGTTGAAACTCAAAAATAATCCAATCTTTCTGGGTATCTAAATATTTGGTATACATACTTTTGGCAGTTCGACTTAACTTGCGTGTATCTCGGTAACCAATAGGAATAAATTAACGTACATATTAGCAATTACGGGTCTTTTTCATCCGACTTTTACAGGTCTAATGAACCCATATGGAAACATTATTGAGGGGATTGGAAATGAATTACTTTTTGTCATCAGTTGTATGGGAACGATTTTGTTTCTTATTGCGGCTTGGATCTCTACAAGGGTTAACTGGGAGTTGATGCCTGTTAGAATAACCTTGCTACGCCATCCTCACAGAAACCATGATACTGAAACAGAAACGACAAATGCACCAGGAACTGTAGAACCTGAAAACATCGACTCATCGGGTAATATTTTCTCAGAAACTTCGGGTTCTAGTTCCGAGGATGAAATCGATTCCGATACATGCATTCACAAACGTTCATCTGGTAAGTATGACTGATTTTTCAATTATGATTCTAAAGTTCAAGTCACTATGTCTACTACAATTAAAACAAATCGAGTTACTTGTCAGTAGTTCTAATTCTGTGTGCTGAGAGTAAAAAATTGATGTTATTATAACGTTACCCAAGAAGCGTCGTATATGCATTATGGTTCAAATTCGTTTTACTGATATATAGCTTGAGATCAAGTGAGAAATACACCCTTTATAGGCCTATAAACTTCCGCGTCAGTTTTGGATGTACATTTTTACTCTAACTTCAGTTGTCTTACTTGGTCACTTCACACGTCAGAAGATTTAATCTGTAGCAATTTGAACACCGTAATCGTTTTTGTGTTGAGAATAAAAATGTGATTGGTTCATAGTTGGTTTCATGTATTGCTTCTGAGGATTAATTAGATAACGAGACCGTAAACGTAGATTGGACATTTAGGAACTGCAAATAAAAGCCGTGTACTTAAACTTACTGGGAATTTCGATAACAGTCTCTCAATTGCGTCAAAACGGTCAGTGCGTTAATGACTATTTACTCTGTCATTGTTTTCAACTACTACACATACGTAAACTGCTTTTGTTTTTTCACTGGAATGTAAGGTTACGTTTGATGTCAAGGTTTCGATATACTGAAAAAATCGCGTAAAGTATTCTGACCATTGTTTAACTTGATTTTATCACATCAAAGTAATGTGGACACCATTATCGCTTTTTTTTAAATGCACCTTGTGGCATAAGGATTTAGTTTTTTCATAAGAATGACCATAGTATTCCTAGTCCACAAAATTAACCAGATGTTCATTAAACAACTATTTTTACTTGTATCTAATTCATCTAGTTCAGACTTCAATCACTTCAAATGATCAAAGAAATTCATCTTCATCCGATGAGGAATCGAAAACGAGTAGAACAAAAGAAAAAGGACAAATTAATTCTACATCTTGTTTTAATGGACATTTAGTCATAAAATTGCAATATCTTAATGAAGAATCACGTTTTGTACATGCATCTCCCACTATGTCTGTTAATCGTTTTAAGAAGTACGTTTTCGTTTTATCTTCATGTTTTTCACTCAACATGTTCTATATTTTAGTACGCGAACCCAGACTGATCAATTGTTATTTACCGATATTATAAATAAATAAATTATATATATATATATATATATATATATATAATTAGGGGAGGTCCACCACAAATCAAATATAAAAGGTCTTAGAGCTCAGTTTTCCACAAAACTCTGATTGAGGTCTACTTTTGACTTTTTATATGGTAAAGTCCATTTGCCTCAGTTCTCTTTTTCACAAATATCCACATTAGGCTTGCCAAACATTCAACCAAGTTCTGAGGGACAAATACGTCAAACTCCTAATAAACTGGAATAAAAGCCAGGTAGCAAGCGAAAACACTATAAAAATTGACGTGAGGTGGAAAAAATGCTGTTCATGAATGATAAATAACGAAATCCCGAAGTCCTCGACAATATAGCTTAACGTCATGACAGTGAACTGATTACAAAAATGTCTATTTCGACTGTCCCCCCCCCCCACAAGAGAACATACTATGGCATTTAAACACAACTAATTTCGTCTGAATATATCCACTGTACGAGAACATAAATGCGTTCAAAAAGTGATTTTCAACTAAATAACATGCTTTACTCTTACGACACCACATTAATTAGCAAAGAAAATAATAATTCAATGGCCAGTCGAATCAACGAGAATCAGTTCAAACAAACGATTTAGTCCACCAAAATAATCCACGGCCGCTATTCCGTATTATTTATAGGATTTAAAATGTCAGTAACTATTTACTTTATAACAAATTGCATTACAAAGATATTGGACAAACGAGTTTCGACGTCAAACGCTGCCGCGCAATATGGTTAGTTTTGTTACTCCGGTAGAATGAGTTCGTTCGATAGTAATTATTTTTTCATTAGTCTGTAAACATTTTTGTAAATAAAGACATATGATAAAACTGAACATGCTCATCTTAGCTGAAAATCCTTCCCACTAGAACCTTCATTGGCAGTTCAAGGAATATAGAAAAACCCCTATATATAAACTATTGTCTCAAAATTAACAATCGTTGATGTCGCGCCTACTATCAGTGGTTAAAAAGTTTAGATAATAGTGAAAAGGAGTTAGACTCAGTAGGCCTATAACTAAGTGGTGCTTAGCCGTGCTCGGTGTAAAGTTGGCTTCTTACGTAAATGACTTGTATTCTTCATGGTTAGAGTACTTTTTAGTGTTTCCTCTAAAATACTGCGAGGAGCCAAAACCACAATTTTCAAAATTTAAGGATCCTGAATATGCAGTCACCTCTTAAAGGACCAATTCGTTTGGAATCTCAGTTATACATGCTTTTCATTTTATTTATTTGAACACAAATATTGGTACAAATGGTCACCGAATTCATATGTCCCACACAAGTCACTTGATTTATGTGTTGGCTTTAGTACTACTCGGGTGTCAAAATAGAAGCAGGTGGTTTTCCTAGGGGGCAGCCCCCGGAGCCTTCGACCTGAAGGTCTGATTCACAAGGTACTGGAGCAACGTCATAAGATGTTGTCACATGGTAGCCGTTGACCAACGATTGGTTCATACTCCATTTGTTCCTTCAGAATCTTCGTGCTCATGTGCACCATTGGTTTGGAATCAGGGTTTTCCAACTCCCGTAGGTCGACTCTCCGTGTTCACCAAACCGTTTAGAAAGCCTGACATTCGTTTTTCATCCTCATTTTCGTAAACAACAGCAATGCGTCGAGCAGGCACTGAGTAGGACTTCCGTGTCAGTGGTTGTATGCACGTGGCCATGTGATAGTACCTGTAGAGGGAGAGTCGACTCTCCCCACCCTCGGGCGTACCAGGGCGCTTGTCATCACAATCTTGATATTTAATATAAGTGCACAAAAAACACTAACAAACGGAGGCTTAGCATACATGAGTAGTTTTTATCCCCGTCAATAAACCACGGAGACACTTGAGAGGGGAAGAAAGTGGGAATGAGATGGTTTTGTTGTCAGAAATAGGTAATTGTGGTAAGCGAGATAAATCAATGTCCAACAAATTATACATAGGAGCAGAAGGGTTTTACGCCAAAACGACTGGTTTTCTGTCCTGATTCATAAAATCATCTTTCTACTTGATAAGTTTCTCATCATCCACTTATAGCTCTTATCCCTCCAGCGTTAATAAGCTTCCATATTTTACTATCGTTTTAAAACTTTTATATCTCTGTACCTTATCTATACCTTAGTGGTACATCCAAACATAAATACAGTTTTCGTTTTTTCTGCGTTACATTTTTTATCTGGAATTCCTATGTCCTATCATGTTTTTCTGTCCGAATGATCTGTTTCATTAAAAATCCTCTCAAATCTAACACATTTATCATCTAAGTGCCACCTTTATCTGCGCTTAGATCGAGTGTATCATTTTACAACTGCTCATACTGTTGTGTTGAAACTCAAAAATAATCCAATCTTTCTGGGTATCTAAATATTTGGTATACATACTTTTGGCAGTTCGACTTAACTTGCGTGTATCTCGGTAACCAATAGGAATAAATTAACGTACATATTAGCAATTACGGGTCTTTTTCATCCGACTTTTACAGGTCTAATGAACCCATATGGAAACATTATTGAGGGGATTGGAAATGAATTACTTTTTGTCATCAGTTGTATGGGAACGATTTTGTTTCTTATTGCGGCTTGGATCTCTACAAGGGTTAACTGGGAGTTGATGCCTGTTAGAATAACCTTGCTACGCCATCCTCACAGAAACCATGATACTGAAACAGAAACGACAAATGCACCAGGAACTGTAGAACCTGAAAACATCGACTCATCGGGTAATATTTTCTCAGAAACTTCGGGTTCTAGTTCCGAGGATGAAATCGATTCCGATACATGCATTCACAAACGTTCATCTGGTAAGTATGACTGATTTTTCAATTATGATTCTAAAGTTCAAGTCACTATGTCTACTACAATTAAAACAAATCGAGTTACTTGTCAGTAGTTCTAATTCTGTGTGCTGAGAGTAAAAAATTGATGTTATTATAACGTTACCCAAGAAGCGTCGTATATGCATTATGGTTCAAATTCGTTTTACTGATATATAGCTTGAGATCAAGTGAGAAATACACCCTTTATAGGCCTATAAACTTCCGCGTCAGTTTTGGATGTACATTTTTACTCTAACTTCAGTTGTCTTACTTGGTCACTTCACACGTCAGAAGATTTAATCTGTAGCAATTTGAACACCGTAATCGTTTTTGTGTTGAGAATAAAAATGTGATTGGTTCATAGTTGGTTTCATGTATTGCTTCTGAGGATTAATTAGATAACGAGACCGTAAACGTAGATTGGACATTTAGGAACTGCAAATAAAAGCCGTGTACTTAAACTTACTGGGAATTTCGATAACAGTCTCTCAATTGCGTCAAAACGGTCAGTGCGTTAATGACTATTTACTCTGTCATTGTTTTCAACTACTACACATACGTAAACTGCTTTTGTTTTTTCACTGGAATGTAAGGTTACGTTTGATGTCAAGGTTTCGATATACTGAAAAAATCGCGTAAAGTATTCTGACCATTGTTTAACTTGATTTTATCACATCAAAGTAATGTGGACACCATTATCGCTTTTTTTTAAATGCACCTTGTGGCATAAGGATTTAGTTTTTTCATAAGAATGACCATAGTATTCCTAGTCCACAAAATTAACCAGATGTTCATTAAACAACTATTTTTACTTGTATCTAATTCATCTAGTTCAGACTTCAATCACTTCAAATGATCAAAGAAATTCATCTTCATCCGATGAGGAATCGAAAACGAGTAGAACAAAAGAAAAAGGACAAATTAATTCTACATCTTGTTTTAATGGACATTTAGTCATAAAATTGCAATATCTTAATGAAGAATCACGTTTTGTACATGCATCTCCCACTATGTCTGTTAATCGTTTTAAGAAGTACGTTTTCGTTTTATCTTCATGTTTTTCACTCAACATGTTCTATATTTTAGTACGCGAACCCAGACTGATTAATTGTTATTTACCGATATTATAAATAAATAAATTATATATATATATATATATATATATATATATATATATATATATATATATATATATATATATATATATATATATATATATATATATATATATATATATAATGCCCAAATAATATTTAATCTACTTTAATAGATTACCATGTTAATTAAGAATTAAAAGTGGTGATTTTGTCTAACGGATACTTGGTTCGGACCGTTATAATGTTTACTGACTGACGGTTTATTTTCCTTCGTTAGCAACAACATTTTCACATTACGTAACTTAAATATGGCTTACATTTAGCATTATAATAATTACCATGCTTTAAATTTTGCTGAACCTAGATACTTTTACTTGTTTTCAGGAAGCACTTTGTAGATGAATTAATCAATCAGAAAAAGAACGTCAGGCTTATCTTTCAAGGCCGAGAGTTACTGGATGTTTTGCAAAATGAAGCAAATTTTCATAGTAGTGGAAGACCAAAACGTCAAAGATTATGTGACTATGGTATAACTGATGGCTCAACAATTCACTGTCTTGTTACAACTCCTGTTGTATCATCACCCACCAGGTCATCCTCGGTAAACGATTCCGGAAACACAGGACGTAATTTCGCTTTCCCAAGTTCTTCCAGCGATTCAATGTTAACTGAGTTTGATATAGGTACTAGGCTTATGAAACCACTTTTCGCTTTTCTCCTACTTTTCACTTGGTTTTTTAGGATTGTCTATAGACAATATTTTAATTCAGTGTCTACGTTTGCTTTAGTAACATTAACAGTGTTCTTTTGTGGAGCCGTATTTACTGCTACTCTTGTGAATGCTGTCTCGACAATAGCTTCATTATTTGGTTTTCCAAGCAGTAATGAACTGTCAAATCAACAATCAGAAAATCCAACCAACCAACCTAACTCACCCGATGTACAAGTTTTAACTGTAACTATGGTTGCACGTCGTATGCCACCTCAAACACCTATAAACCAAACAAACAGTACTTCATTTTTTCTGGGGGAATCAGCCCATAATCATCAAATTATTGTTGATGAGCCCAATAATGATTCTCAAGCAAGAACAGACTAACTGCTGAGATATCTTTACCTGTGTTTATTTTATTTTATCATTGTATTCTTTGGTTCACTTTAGATGTTTGTTATAAGTTACTAAATGTGTATTTCTCTCCTGCTTTTTAAGCAGAAGTTGCCATTCTTGTACATATGATTCAGTTTGTCCTGATTTCCTACTTAATTAGATGCATTCAATCGATAGACCTTAATACTTATTTGTTTATACAATAAGTGCAGAGTGATACTTAGTTCACCTTATGCAATAAGTCATGTTATACTATGTTCTAAAGTTTAGTAATAATGTTTAAAACTTATGGTATTTTATGCGAAAATGATTTAGGACCTTCCGAACTAAATAAACCGCTTACAGTGACTCATTTTGGATATGAAACTTGCGTATTATACTGTAAGTTTTAGATTACTGATTATAAAAGCTTGCGAAGTCATCTTTTTGATGAAGACTTGTACCAAAAAGTAACGGTGAGATAAAACATTCGGAGGCGGGAATAATTGTCTTTCTAGAAAAACAAATATTTTATATTCTCTAGACTCTGAAATCTATGTGAATTGCATAGATGACATAACTTCGCAGTTAACTGAGGAAGGTATACTTCAGTGACTCAGTAAATTCACCGACTGATTTCTGTGTTACAGAAAATTTAGATTGGTTGGCTTGCCCAAATTTGACCATGACCTTATCTCCTGTTTCTGAGCTTCTATTTTCAGATCACTAAGATATTTGTTATACTATATATGACGATTATTTTCACTCGTTGAATAAGGATGTGAAGCCTTATGTCCTTTATTCACTACAGTTATAAGAAAAGGCTTGAGAACTAGTGTATCCTTTCGGGGTTTGTATGACTATAAAAATAACCTTGCGATTTAAGCCTTTTGAGGTATATCGACATCAGAACCCATATTTCTTTTGTTCAGCCTTAAACAGCGGGAAGAGCGGATATAGTTATGCAGGAGTTACATTTGTTGGATCTAAAATACTGTTAAGATAATACCTTTAGGCGTTAAATTTTTTGCTGGCTTGCAATTTCAAATAATTATCCCTTGTTAGTCACTCAGAACGAGACTAATTAGATACTTTGTGGTAGACTAGCTTGTATTCCTCTGTTTTTTGCCTTGGGATATCTCAGACAAGTCGATTTTGTGTGTAAATTTCCGCTTAATTAGGGTTTAATACCAGGCTGTAAGTTAAACCTTTGGTAAATGAGTGTTATTCTACACTGAAGATTGAAGCTAACCGAAACATAAAGGACTTAAAGGTGGAAATAATTAATATGATAATGAAAAATATATCCAAAAAGTCCGAAGGATCCACCTGTATCGTTCGATATATCTACCCCTACCATCAGTACCTTAAAGTCACAATTATCACTTGGAATTTAAAAATCGAAAGGGTAGTGAGTTTTTTCATACTGCACTGAAAACTGCAAAGCAGGAACCAACGAAATGCACACTGTTTAAATCTGTCAGCGGGTTGTATAAATTTTCTGTTATATCTAACAGGAATTCTTTTGGACGTTATGGCCATTATGAGTAGAGGATATTCGTACTTTGCTGGTATTGGGTCATAGGTGTCCACGAAACATTGCTCATGTATCTTGGGACCAGGAAGTAAGCAGTGCCTGAGTTAAGAATAGAGTACTGGGTGAAGATGAAGAGTCGTTTGATAAGATAGTAAATCTTGACCAATTGATGTAGTTGGGATATGTGTTATGCATGACCAACCACTGCCTTCCTCAACGGGCGATGTCTTTAGGTGCAGAGGCAGACTGAACTTAGCCATGTTAATAGATGTAGACTATCTCGTTGGGGTCCACGTTATTATCGTTACCAATGGTTAGAAACTGAATGACATGGCTCAAAATTGTTTGCAATGGCGCAAGTGCATTCACTTTCTGTCTTCCGCCAAATCCTGAAATTTTAAATTGCTCATAACTTTCTTCTATTTTTATTTCACTAATTTGTTTTTTCTTCTCTAACCATATCTTTGATGCTTAACTTTTTAAATTACCACCGAAACTGTTATTATTTCTACTATCTTGGGGTTTCCCCTGACATCTCTGTGCTAATGGGGTATAACAACATGAAGCAGTGTACATAAGTGCAGATTCTACGTTATGACTATGTAGTTTATTTATTTTTCTTCATTCCATTGTAAACGATTTGTCTGTTGACTGTTTGGAATCTATTCATTATTACACTTTGTTCTGTAGTAATAACTTCTATTGTCTATATTTCCAAGTTCTGACCTACTTTGAATGTTGAAACATTAGTTTATCGTACCATACTCTCTTCGTTGTTGTTACCAATAAATCTCCTACTAAATTCCTAATAATACTTGTAAACTATTAGTTGTTCAGTTACAGATTCTTCTGTTCTAATGTATCGATTGGGAGGCTTTTGTTTATGTGAAGTCGCTAAATGTTACGGGAACTCTTTACCAACTTACTACTTTTTTATTCATCTCTTAGCATCGAACATTTTCTGTAATATATATCTTTATTCATGCGTTACATCTTACTCATAATATATACAAGAGTTTGTTGGCAGATGGCCTTTTTGTTGATTTATTCCAACACACTATTTTATTAAATTAGATATTTTTGTATGCATCACAGGGTATTATTAATCGATGCCTCAGGGTGGAGTCCAAAGGTAGGAACTTAATAAACAAAAGTGAATAGATCCTCTAGTTTCGAGACTGACAATTCATGTTCTTCGGATATTGTAGTACCATGAGACAATCCGAAGATCTATTAGGATCGGAAATTGATAGGAATTCTGAACTGCTGTCGTACATATAACCGAGTAGGTATCTGGTATTCCTACGAACTAATGATTTTTCTATACTTGGTTGCCCGCTGATTACGAATTCGAAATATAATACGTTCATTTGTGCTTATCTAGTTCTACTTGCTGTAAATTGCACGATTTCGGGAATTCCTAGTTGGTACATGAATTCGAATACTCCTAGTCATCATGGTATCACGGGCAGATTTCACTGGTCTGCTCTTGTCCCAAGAACGAGCCTATTTCGAAAATGAAGAGTTCCAGGCTAACGTCGAAATCCCATTGTCGTCTTCTCTGTCGCGGCTGTCAGGGTTTCCTGCTATTCAAGAACAATTGATGAACGAATGCAATTTTGACAGTATAGATATATTCAGTACAAAAACGACAAGCACATGGAATTACCACTACTGTTTGGCTGAGTCATGTAGTCTAGATAGTGTTTTCGTATTTTGCCTTCTTGACCCCCAACTATTCAACTTGCATTGGTAGATCTAGGGCAGAGCAATGCTATATTCTGGATGTTAGGTTTCAGTGTTTTATCACTGCCATCATTCTTATTCTCGATAGAAACCGTCCAAGTATAATTCAGTCTCGAATCATATGGGGTCATAATGCGTCTCAATTTATCTAACGAATGATAAGAATCCTCTGGGTATTAATAAACTCAAAGATAAACCAGAAAAAGATGCGAGCTTCTGGTTGGTAATTCTAACGTGAAAAGGACCTCGATTTTCTAGATTCACCGTCGATATGCGTTATATAAGATTTGACGCACTGGCCATTTGATTGTAAAATGAAGTCCAATTATGATAATAAAGAGTGATATAGAATGAATTTAACAAAATCATCCTGAAATATACAGTACTGTCATGTAGTCAGTAATGTGACATTGTTGGAGAGATTGGTTCGGCGTCACTACTATTTAACTATAATAAGAATTAGTGATACTACTGACACTTATATGTTGTTATCATGAATAACTTTCATTGCTTAGCAATACAGATAACTTTACGATCTCCCGAGAGAAAGTATTCACTGGAATATTAATACATTCAGGTCGATACTCCATGTTTTAAATTCTAGTGAACCAGCCATTCACACTCATACTTACACGTCGATGGTTTAAAATAATTTAGTCACAAGTATTACTTCAAACATAAGTCTGATATTAAAGCATTTGGAATCTAGCAGTTATTAGTTATAGAAATCAATGGAGCGTGTGAGTATAATTATAGATTCTAGTGTAGATCAGCAACGTAGATGATCTATGTCAAATAATTGAAAGGCCTACTCGAGTTAGGCGAGAATGGTGTGATCAGCAGTCAAATTAGAAGTCACACCTCGTGGACAGCATTTAATATGAATCACCCTTTCGACCTATCAAGGTGCTATGGTTGCTTTGAAGACCGTATAACACAAAGGACGTGATTACAGAGATGGGCCAGTCCTTGGCATGAGATTAATTGATGAGCGTTGGTTGAACTGTTTAAGATTCAGTGGTGATGGTGAATTGTGTGCATTCCCTGATATACTTACTTTCTGAAGTGCCCCAATTCATCTATGTATTTCATGCAATTGGTTCCCTTTATGAATTTAAATAGAGCAAGAACAAACATTGATGCAGAATAGTATGAATTCATATTATTTCGAGGTTTCTCGTCAGCTGCTTACAAACCAAAATTGTGATAGAATTTTTACATGGAGATAGTGTGAAACAATTGACATAAATGAGTGTAAATAACGTGATTACAATAATAACTATATATATATGCTAGAAACAGGTCAGAGGTCAAAAGAGGGGGGTTAATCCAGGGTGGGTGGTGTAATAATTTAGTGAAGTTCATAAATTGTGTGATAATTGTAGAGATTAATGGAATTAAATAATGATAAGGTAGATTACGTAATAATAATTAAATAGGGTTTGGAAAGTTAAAATGATTTAAAAGGATCAGGTGATGGAAATGTGTGAATAAAATTTATTTTAAGAATTAGGTAATAGGGGGGAGTATAAATTATCTTAGAATAAGTAAATGAATCTATGTATGATTGCGTGCTTGGTCATCGTTAGGTTTGTGTTGTACAGACGATTTCACGCTAAACCTCCGAATAAACTAACAAGATTAATTCGTTCACTAACGAAGTAAACGACGGGAAAACATGCCAAAATCATTTATGTTAAGGTACATTCAGTGTAATAGAACGAAAACGCTAAGGATCCCTCCACAGCATTTCATTGGACAGTATTGCTATTTCTATTTCCCTGTCTTGTATTTTAACTTTCCCTCACGACTTTTGCAACCACGTTTCACGTTTTTTAGTCTTATTTGTCTGGACTTTTACTACAGAGCTTTGGTTTGGGGTTTATCCTCAATAATTAATTTGACTGCTGAATGTTGC